GTTTTTCTTATTGAACAGACAGAATATATACAAAATTTGCAATATGCAATAAAATTTATGTCCAAGTTTACCAGAAGGTTTACAAGAAAAAAAAAATGCTATATTTAAAATGCAGCATATCCATATTTTTCTGGATGGGTGGATGATATATTGATTTTGGCATCGGAATCGGCTCTTATTCGTTATTTTTTTATACATTGTTTTTTGGGCCCTATATATTAAATGCAATAAAAGGCATCTCTCTAAGTATCTATAAATATAAATAGCAGTGTATTCTGGTTCTCTTGTGTTCTTAACAATAGGAAAGCATTCAATAAGTATATGTTTGAGCTTATTTTTGGAAAATGCAAAAACCTAAAGAAAGCGTTCGGGTGGAGTAACCGTAGGTCCATCAGCTACCACCCGAGTGTCCCCACCAACTTTTATCACAAAGTTACACCCTTGCTCCATTGGCAGATTGTCCTACTTACCTGTTTTAGGAGCAAATATATTTATTTTAAGGTTTTTTTTTTTTTTTTTAGGTGTTTTTTTCAGTGAAGTAGTGCTTTACATGTCTAAAGCATACAAATATATATTAAATGTACATATTGTAGTAGTGAGTACTAATTTAAAGCAATAATTTAAAACAATACAGACAAAGGCAGCTCAAAAAGAAAACTGTTTTTAACCTAGATTTTACACCTGTTTCAAGATTTTAGCTTTGTTTTAGTGAAGGTTGACAAAATGGCTATTCAGCCTGAAGAGACTCACAAACAGCAACCATGAGGTTTTATTGATGTGAAGAGATAAAGAAGTGTAATAGTCCTTGGATCTGGAGTGTTAAGTGCAGATTCCTGAACAATGATTGGCTAAAGCAATGGCATGGAGCTACATTCTTAGACTGAAGCAGACACATGATGAGGGGATCAGTGGGCAGATAAGGTAGGGATGGCTGACAAGGTGTTTGTGTATGGATTAAAGCAAAAAGTAGAAATCTCCTGTCCAGGGGTGATGCTGACAAACTAGTCCATGCATATGTTGCTTCAAGGCTGAACTATTGCAATTCTTTACTATCAGGAAGTCAATAAACTGTAGTTAAAAGTCTTCAGCTGATCCAAAATGCTGCAGCCAGAGTTCTGATGAAAATTTAAAAGAGTTTGTGCGGCTTCCTGTTAAATCCAGAATAGAATTTAAAATCCTCCTTCTCACATATAAAGCCTTAAATGGCCAAGCTCCATCTGATATCAGAGATCTGATTGTTCCTTATGTTCCTAACAGAGCACTTCGCTCTCAATCTGCAGGTTTACTAGTGGTTCCTAGAATTTCTAAAAGTAGAATGGGAGGCAGATCTTTTAGTTATCAGGCTCCTCTCCTGTGGAACCAACTACCAGTTTTAGTCCGTGAGGCAGACACCCTGTCTACTTTTAAGGCTAGGCTTAAAACTTTCCTTTTTGATAAAGCTTATAGTTAGAGTGGCTCAGGTTATCCTGAGCTATCTCTATAGTTATGCTGCTATAGGCTTAGACTGCTGGAGGACATAGGGACCCCATTTCATCATTCTGCTTCATTCTATCTCTATTCTCCCAATCTGCAGAATCTGTAAGTTCATTCTCTACTGTTATGCTCTCTCTGCTTTTTCTCATAGTAGCTTTGCCTCGTGTGTTCCTGTTTGGCTGTGACTCCATCCTGGAGAGAAATATCAGTTGTGCTGCTGCCATCAGCACCCTTGTTTATAGATGTTCAAGATTGGCCTGTTTTTCAATGTAGTCCTGTTTCTCTGACTGGCTGGATGTGCTTTTTTTCAATCCTCTGACATGGAGGAAGCCGCCTTTTACAGCTGCTTTTTGTATCTCTGCTTCTGTCTCCTTGAACCCCAGTCGGCCTCAGCAGATGGCCGCTCACACTGAGCCTGGTTCTGCTGGAGGTTTCTTCCTGTTAAAAGGGAGTTTTTCCTCTCCACTGTCACACAAGCATGCTTAATGTGAGGGATTGCCTTTGAGTCAATGAATCGATGCAATCAACTGGTTTTCCAATCTGACTGTATGATCTGGTGAACTGTAAAGTGTCTTAAGATGATGTGTTGTGAAGTTGTGCTATATAAACAAACTGAATTGAATGAAATTTAATACAGATTAAGTAGGAAATGTAATGTTTTCTAATTATTGGGTCTCAGAGGTCATGTCTCAAAAAATCTATTATGTTTAATGAATCTTAGATCCAATCATATCCATCTTTAGATCAAACCAATCTTCAGCTGTAGTGGTTAAAGCGTGCCCTTTGTTCAAACACTCTTTGTAATGGTGCGTTCACACCAAACACAATTTGAGCATCAGGCGGATCTAATTTTCATGGAAACTCTATGGTAGATACTTCCTTTGGTGTGGTTTGAAATCTTTTAAGCTGCATGTCCAAAGTGGTGGGAGCTAGAGTTGCAGAGCGACCAATCAGAGAAGCCAGTCGGGGCTGTATATTCCTGCTTTCAGCCGCTGTGAACAGGCATTGGGAATCTCCCAGTACCTGGAGGAGGCAGAACAGGATAGTTCCACCCAAAGTCCTTTGCTTTAGGCTGGCATTTAACACAACCATCAAAGATGAGGCGTTTGACCCCTTTTTGATGCCCGAAACTGTCTGTATGTGCATACTTCCTTCTCTAACAGTTTTTTTTCCTCCTGCAGGTACAATCATGTAAACGCTCTCCGTACAGCCTGTAGGACCGGCCTGTCAGAGTGCCAGGACCTGACCCGCATGTGGTTCGGACAGTGGATGGACCACCCTGAACACAATCTGTGGGTTTGAATTATGCAGAATTTCATCATGTTCCTTTTCATTTGACATCTTATTAAACTGAAAAAAATCAAACATTGTATTATCAAAAATATTTTAGGAGTATGATAAATGTTTAAATTTTTATGAATTCATTTTTCTTTTTTTTGGGGGGGGGGTAATTAATTTGACTAAAGGTCTTTACCAAAGGAATAAATAAAACCTAAAATGAAATGCAGTATGACCCACCAGAAAATCCTATCAATCACTCAATCTCAAATCCAGACTCGCCCCATGGGAACATTATGTAGAACAGAGTTTGGTAAATGTTGGCTGGATGTAACTTTGGCCGTGTAAAGCACCCGCAAGCAGGAAACTAAAACGCTAACACATTGGAACTAACGTCCCTCTAACTACCCAGGTCAAGGTTCCGAAGACAATTGAACACACCATTATACCCGAACAAAGGGAAGTGACTATAGCCCCATTTACAGTACCCGTTTGAAACTGTGCCGAGATCAGTCCGAGCATGGTGACCAAGATAACTGTTGAGTGTAAATGGAACTCAACTGAACTGGACCATGCCAGACACAATTAAACCGTGCTAAATATAGTACTACTTTAACAGTATGGCTCAGCATGGTTCAGCTGTGGCTCTATATGACAAAGAGCACATTAGCAGACTTCGTCATCTCCTATTTACAGTCAGCTGACTCATTCCACGGATTTTGCGGGGTGTTCGGCTTCACAGATCTCTTCACCTGTTCACAACACAAACTACTTCTCAGCCTATTAACAATAAATGATATCAGAAGGCATGGCGCGACCTGGGATGATGCAGAGACTGAGACTCTGAATGGAATTTGGGTGGAGGACGCTATCTAGCTACATACGTGCTGGAACGTTATGGGCGTCACCATTTTCTCTTTTTTTTTGCGTAATTCTACTGCAATGCTACAGTTGAGAGCTGTAGCATTGCCGTAGAGGAAACGTGCTAGCTTGATGTGAAAATGGTCATAGGAACCAAACTCACAGTTAACTGATCCAAGCTTAGTCCGACCTCGGCACGGATCGGTTTCAAAGGGGTAGTGTAAATGGGGCATAAAGCCAAGCTATACCATTTTAACCTATAGGAAAACTCACTGCAGTGGCTTTGTATCAACCCATAGGGGGCAGCACTAATGGAAGTAATTTTAAGCCAATCATTTAAAAATCATAAAGACATTGCCCTTAAAGAGCAACTTTATACCTCTGTTGGTTTGGGGTTAATTCATTTTTTTAGTTATCAGTGTAACCAGATGATTCTATATTTAACAGTTGTTTTATTTTGCCTTTTATTATTTGAAATTTTAGTGGAGCTAATCAGAGCCTCTTCCCTTTAGCATCCATCCAAACCTGCGTTCTGCAGTGTACTGCAGCGCGGTGGCTGACGGCACTGAAGCTGAGTGGAACTTTGCATGGTCGCAGTTCAGGGCGGCTACGGTGGCCAGCGAGGCCAGTAAACTTATGTCAGCTCTGGCCTGCAGCACCGACACACAGCTGCTGGACAGGTGAGCCGCACGGTCGCTAAAACTCACAGCTTTTTACCTCAGATTCCTCTGAAATCATTTCACTGATGTTCAGATAAAATTACCATTAAAGTTTTTAGTGACTTAAGGCTGGAAAAACTGCTAAAACTCTTCAGACCCTCCCTGCCTCATCTTTTTCTCAGGTATCTGAGTTACACGTTAAATACGACCCTGATCCGAAAACAGGATGCCACCTCCGTCATCACGGCCGTGGCCAATAACAGAGTGGGACACAGTCTGGCCTGGGACTTTGTCAGAGAGCACTGGGTGTACATGTTCACAGAGTGAGCATCAAACACAGACTGCATGATTTTTTTAAAACCTCTAACTGTAATTATTGTTTCCAGATGAGAGTCACAAGATTTTTTTATTAGATTTTTTTCTGTTACAAATGTATTTTTGTTTTGTTTTGTTTCATCTCTCAGACTGAGGTGTTTTTTTACGGAGCCCCAGAACTGACATGGGAGAAAAAAGAGATACAGTGTGCGCACGGAATACAAATTTGTTCCCCCAAAATATTAATTTGTGGCCACTAAATATAAATTTGTTCCTACAAATACTAATTTGTTAACACGAAATATCAATTTGTTCACACAGTAGGCTAATTAGTTCCCACAAAATATTAATTTGTTCCCAAGAAATACTCATTTGTGGCCACAAAATATATATATAACGTGTGCACAAAATACTAAAACATAATCTTCCTACAAACAGCACACCTTCACAAAGGAACAAAACTTGATGGACAGAGATAGCCTGATCTAATTTTATTTGATGAGCTACAAAAAAATTCTGAGAAGTTTGATGTTTCAAGGAATTCTCATTAGTGCGTGTCACAGTTTTGGTTCTGTTAAGTTTGCTTTTGAATATTGAGTTTGACTTTGATCCATGTTTTTCTTTGTTTTCTAGTTTTATTTTTTTAATTCCTATTTTGCTGTGTTTTCTAGATATATTTGAGTTCTTAGGTTTTTCTTGGTTGCCCTCTGCTGCTATCTTGTGTTGGTCTTTGTTTTCCTAGCTTCTTCTAGAATCCTCTGTTCACACCTGCTTCCAATCCGCTCATTAGTCCTGTCTTTGTTCAGCCTCCCATATATACTCTCCCTGTGCAGTTCGTCTTTTCCTGGCTCCCCACGTGAGTTTTTCCATGAAGTTTTTTTTGGAATTTTGGCCTCAGTTATTCAATTAAATCTTCAAAAACTCTCCTTTGCCTCCTTGCCTCTGCCTTTGGGTCCTCAAAACCTCAACCTAACCCTGACAGTGAGAGGCATTTGTATAGAATTTTGAGAGCCATTGTATAGGTATTAGGATATATATTATCGACCAACTCCAAGGCTCTGGAAAAGATCAATTTATTGGTAGATGTATGTTAAGTGCTTACAACATGGCATTCGTGTCAGAAATGATGTCAGGATCCTCCTCTTAGAAGTATAGATAAGTAAGTTTAAGTATTTTGTGCACATGTTATATATATTTTGTGGCCACAAATTAGTATTTATTGGGAATAAATTTGGAATTCGTACCCACGTTGTATCTTTTTTTTCTCCCATGTCAGTTCTGGGCCTCCATAGTTTTTTTTGCATGTTTTATTGTTTGAGGCTCATTAAACCTGCTGTCAGATGTCATCCACCTCTCTTTGTTCTAGGTATGGTGTAGGCTCTTTCTCCTTTGCCTCTCTGATCAGTGGGGTAACAGCGAGGTTCTCCACACCTGAAGAGCTACAGCAGGTTTGTCATTTTCATTTCCCTTGCTGTTGTTCTGCACTCAAAGTTGGAGTTTAAAGGTACGGAGTGAAATTTGTGCAAATATTTCTGAAAGCAAAGAACATGTCTCAGAAATGGAACTTTAAAAGGTTTCTCAATAAAAAAGGTTTAGAGTGTAATTTTATAATCTGCTTAAATATTTTTTGTTTGCTTTTTTATTTTAATTTGACTTCTTCAATTTACATTTTTCTGTTAATATATGTGGTGGATATTATTTTTCTAAACTTAATTTTTTCAGATTTTTTTTCAGATTAGTGGGTAAAATCTGTAAAACAGGGTTAGAAAAGACAGTTTTTTAAGCTGACTCTATAAAACTTAAAAATAAAATAAAAAGAAACAGCTGAAAAACAAAATTAATCAAATAAAATATACATTTTATTCTTGGAAAAATCTAATTAGCAAGGGGTAGAAGTGCAGCACCAACACTATTTATAGTGGGAGTGGTGTGCTGCTGACCTCGGGACGTCATGTGTTGGTGGGCAGAGTACTTTGAAGACCTTAATCCCGCCAGCACCTCTTCCATTGTGGAAGCAGAGCCTGGGGGCTCCGGGTCGGGTTCTTCCATCTCTGGAGCTGATGTCACTTAGGTGGTTAAAAAGCTCCTTGCAGGCAAGGCTCCAGGGGTGGATGAGATTTGTCCTGGTACCTTAAGGCTTTGGATGTTGTGGGGCCGTGTTTGTTAACGTAACGCTGCAACATTGCGTGGACATCAGGGGCAGTTCCCCTGGATTGGCCGACTGGGGTGGTGGTCCCTCTATTTAAAAAAGGGGAACTGGAGGGTGTGTTCCAACTACAGGGGAATCACACTCTTAAGTCTCCCTGACAAGGTCTATTCTGGGGTTCTGGAAAGGAGGGTCCGTCAGATAGTCGAATCTCGGATTCAGGAGTAGCAGTGTGGTTTTCATCCTGGCTGTGGAACACTGGATCAGCTCTATACCCTTAGCAGGATTTTGGAGGGTGCATGGGAGTTTGCCCAACCAGTCTACATCTGTTTTGTAGATCTGAAGAGGGCATTCGGCCGTGTCAATCGGTGGGTCTTGTGGGGGGTTCTCCGGGAGTATGGAGTACCGGGCCCTTTAATAGAGGGTGTTAGGTCGCTGTATGACCGGTGTCAGAGCCTGGTCTGCATTGCCGGCAGTAAGTCTGACTCGTTTCCGATGAGGGTTGGACTCCGCCACCAATTGTCACCAATTCTGTTCATAACTTTTATGGACAGAAGTTCTAGGTTCAGCCAAGGTGCTGAGGGGATCTGTTTTGGTGGCCTTAGGATTGCGTCTCTGTTATTCGCAGATGATGTGGTTCTGTTGGCTTCATCAGAGCGTGACCTACAGCTCTCACTGGAGCTGTTTGAGTGTGAAACGGCCGGGGATGGTAGATGGAAGAGATTTGGGTCATGACCAAGAGAATGAGGTTTTCTCTGTATTGTGTCTGGGCTCTCCCTTAGAGATAGGGTGAGGAGCTGATTCATCTGGGGAGGACTTAGAGTAGAGCCGCTGCTCCTCTACATCGAGAGGAGCCAGTTGAGGTGATTAGGATACGTCCTGGACGTCTCCATGATGAGGTGTTCCTGGCACATCCCTACCAGGAGTAGGCCCAGGGGGAGACCCAGGGACTGGAATATGTTTCTAAGCTGGCCTGTGAGAGCCTTGGGGTTCCCCCAGAGGAGCTGGCCCAACTGGCTGGGGAGAGGGATGTCTGGTCCTCCTTTCTGGATCTGCTACCCCCGTGACCTGACCCCAGATAGGTGGAAGAAGATGGATGGATGGATTTTTGAAAAATAAAATATAGAATATCAAATAACAAAAAACTACCAAATTAGCGGTGTAAATATTTTGGTTGAACATTTGCGTACATATTATTAAGCACTCTTAAAACCGTTTATTGGATTAAGACGTTTCTTAGAGTACTTTCTTTGAATAACTTTTTTTTTCTTTTTCAAAACATGTTCTTGGTTTTCAGCAAAATCACAATAAAATATTGAGTCTGGGATGCGTTGGAGTCTGTATGTTTGTTGTCTAAATCCCTGATTGCTTTGACAGCTGCTGGACTTTGTGGAGCAGCACAAAGAGGCAGGTTTTGGTTCTGCAGCCCTGGCCGTGGATCAGGCATTGGAGAGGACTGAGGCCAACATCAAGTGGGTGCAGCAGAACAAACAGGAGGTCCTGCACTGGTTCAGCAGCCAGACTGGAGGTTAGAAGAGCTAACTGGGGTCTGGAAGTCAAGATGGAGGGCAGCCTACAAGTCAACGCCAGTTGATTATAATCCCAAAGCAAGGAAAAAGGTTTTTGTTCAGAAGTGAATCTGATTGTTGGTGAAGGACAGACCGTTTGATGGCCACAGAGAACTAAGGGGAAAATTAACATCTTTCCCAAAAACAAAGACATTGAAACATATTCTTAAAATTAGTTACTTACAAATATATATTTTATTAAACGCAATGAAAATGAATCAGTGTCTTGAGATCACATGTTGTGCATTCAACTGATTTGATGTAAAGGCTGCTTCTCTACTTTAAAGTGCCAATAAAACAGGAGGAAATTATTTTAGAAAATCCTGTAAATAAAAAATATATTAATAGTGAAATAAATGTAACTTGATATAATCTGTATTTTGAATAAAAAACAAACTATGTATAAAATTTGAGTTTAAGTGTTTAGGCAAAATTCTCTGCAAAAGTTACAACCAAAACATAAACTGTGGTGGAGGTAAATGGAATCTGTTCTGGAGTCTGTTTCAAGAGTTTAATAGAAAATATTTTTATATGTTCTATTGTGTATGCAAAAGTTCAATTAATATTTTTTATAGTTTCTGATGTAATTTCTGTCTAATTTTTGTGGGGAGACGGAGGCTTACAAACTGTTTTCTTTTCAAATCCTGTACTTGGGTGTTTTGCATGTGGACCAATAGGAATGCTATTGCCATGGGGGGGTCAGATGTCCCGGGCCAGGGTGGGGAGTAATAACAATATTACACAGGCTGATCTAATCTTGGTCAAAAAGTGAATATTTATTGTGATGGTTTTGTTGGTTTTAAATAGGCTTTTTTTAAGGACTGTTAGACTGTACTGACTGTTTAAGAATTGTCAATAATTTCATCCAGGGGGACCGTTGGCCTAGTGGGTTAGAGCAGCGTGCCTCTGAGAAGGTTGCAAGCACCTGGTTCAATCCTCACAGACTCCACTCTGCAAGACATAGCTGTATTTGTAAAATATAGTGCCAAGTTGAGTTGACTGCAGTGTAAATGAAAACCTTGACCTTTGTACTCAACTGTCCTACTGTGATCAAGGCCTGCTTTTACCATTTGAGGTGCAGTAAAGCCAATGAGATACTTAAATCCATTTGGAACAATCAAGTATTAAGCCCCAAAATAAAAAACAAGCCAGGCCTCTGAACCAAAGATCTTCTGATCTTCAGTCTGACGCTGTCCCAACTTTTGGAATGACATATTAATGGATCAAATACGTAGCTGTATTTGTAAAATATAGCGCAAAGTTGAGTTGACTGCAATGTAAAAGAAAAAATCGACCTTTGTGCTCAACTGTCCTATGTTAAAAGATTTTTTGCCATTTGAGGTCCAGCAAAGCCCTTGAGATACTTAGACCTCTTTGGAATAGCAAGTACTTGGCCACATTCTGAAGTGCACCATATGTCTCTGCCAAAACCAGGGACTTTCAGATCTTCAGTCTGACACACTCCCAACTGAGCTATTTCAGCACTTGTGCTTTGATGTAAGGTCTGCCACTGGTGTCCTCACATGAAAATGGTGTACATAACAGTTTATATCAGATTTTTCATATCCTACTCGTTGTGCAGAATCATTCATTGTATTTTGGATAAGCTGGGTGATGACAGAAGCTGGGTTCCTTTCCTTGTTTTGATGAAGTCTGATATGAATGATGAAAAAGTGACAATTTCAAAGTGTATCTATCACTGCGGAGCTTAATCATTATCAACCAAAAGTGGACTGTTTCATTTTAAACACTGGTGCTGTCAGAATGAGGCATATAGTGTGGCATATTAATGGGTCAGGGACATAACTGTATTTGTAAAATATAGTGCAAAGTTGAGGTGACTGCAGTGTAACATTAAACTTTGACCTTTGTGCTCAACTGTCCTACTGTGATCAAGGCCTGTTTTTACCATTTGAGGTGCAGTAAAGTCAATGAGATACTTAAATCCATTTGGAACAATCAAGTATTAAGCCCCAAAATAAGAAACAGGCCTCTGAGCCCTAGTGGTTTTGGAATCCTGAGGTTCTGAGTTCGAGCCCCACTCCCACAGACTGCCACTCTGGGTCTCTGAGCAAGACCCTTAACCCCTCATTGCTCCCCGGGCGCCCCACGATGGCAGCCCATTAAGGAGTTTAATTCAGAGGCAAATTTCTCTGATGTGAGATCAATAAAGTTCTAATATTATTATTACAATAATATGGGATAGAATATTAATATTTTCAAATTATTTATAATATTTTCTTTAACAAAAACAAGGTGGACAGATGGTGGGTTGCTCTACAGGTTCCCTCCACCGAACGTAGCCTATTTTCCAGGGGAAACCTGAAGGTTTTGGGAAGGCCTGATCTAAAGCAAGACCTAAATCCTACCCAGATTTTGTGGCATGGTATAGAGACTGTCTGTGATGCTCAGCGGGTTTATAAGGAGGAATAGGAAAAGATTTCCATTTGTAGATGCACAATGCTTGTGCGATGTTTTACAATGAAATCCTGCGTTATGTTGAATTATTTCATCAAATACCCATGAAATACGATGAAGTTTCTGTTTGTAGAGTGAGAAAATGTGAAGCGGAGTGTAAAGCAACAGATTAAGGACTTTTGTGTTTTGCAAACAAAAACAATGCAGGCATTGATCGTGCTCAGTGCTGATCTTCTCTCCGTTTTATTGAGTAAAAACACAGTTCAGACTCAGACCATGTTACACTTATTCATTATGGTGAACACACAGAGCCAAGAGAAAACACCAGACAGACATGCAGCCACCTTCACAACCAGAACCGGACCAAAACCAAACTGAACAACATAAAGACCACAACAAACATGTGCAGGTGCTCAACCATGGACAGTTCATAGACCAGGGAGTCAAACAAAAAAACAACAGGCTGAAAGAGGTAGATGAGGAAAATATGAATTTGTTCTACTAATCTCCTGATATTTGTTTGACCCCCTTCAATTTTCTGTACAAAATCGAAAAAATCTTAGATGTGGTTTTTAATTTCCTCCTCTAGATGGTGGTGTAATCACATTCATAATAATATCAGAACTATGGAAGAGGAATAGGGGCAATGCAAAAATAATACATTTTCATCCTTTTCATTTTATTTCAATTTGATATGGGAAGAAGGCAGAATTCTTTTTTTCAAATATTCCTGACTTTTTTCTCAGAATCCTGAACCTAAGGTCAGAATTATGATTTTTTTTACAGAATAGAATTAGGGCCACTGGGGGGAAACAAAAGTTAATATATTTTTTATTTTATTTGAGTTTAAGATGGGAAAAAAGGAAAAAAAAGTCAGAATTCTGACATTAAAGTCAAAATTGAGAAAAAGAAGCATTTGTCTTTATTTCCCATATTAAACTCAAATAAAATAAAAAAAATCTGTTTTTTTTAAGCCCTAATTTGCTACAAAGAACCCAGCTGAGGAGGAGAGAAACGAAACATAAATAAATCGAATATACTGAGCAGGTCTGATCCGAGCACGCAGAAACTTTTCACGTTACACACAGAAAGTTCTGTTTCTCCTAGAAGCACTCTCAGACGGTGGATCTCATGCAAGACATACAGTACAGGACAGGAAGACACACACAGCTGGACTCTGGACCTTTAAACAGCTGTTCCAGATATTGTGCTGATGAGATGCTTCTGTTAGTCTCATGGGATGAATGTTAAAATCTGGAGGCGGGATGAAATAGCCAAGCAACTGGGCTCCAATCGGAGGGAAAATATTTCCAGCACACTCCAGCCTGAAGCAGACTGGATGAAACAGCAAAGGCTGCATTTGGACTGAAATAAATAAACCTTATAGGTTGACCTATAGGTAAACCTACATTTGTTAAAACCACAAAAACCTGTTTAACATTTAGCCAAACTGCTGCTGATAGGTTTTCTAGAACAGCTTGCGGCAGATTAGCCTCAATCTTAAATATACAAATGCTGATCTGGAAAAAAATCTGGAATCAACTCCTCCTGGATGATGGTGATTTATGAACTTTTCCTTTACCTGCTGAATGTTTGTCTTTATTAGAGGAAATAATCTATAGTATACTGGAAATGGGGGGAATGTTAATGTCAGCAATAGAGCTAACTGGATACAACAGTGATATTGACCCAATACCATATAAGCATGAAGCAAGTTCTTTGATTTCAACAATAGTGGCACAAATTTCCCCCCATAAACAGGTGACTCTGTACCTGATGGATGGTGTGAAACTTTAATAACTCATTTCACACCTTTCCATGGGTGGCAGCCTGCTCTGAAAGCTTAGCCTGATGTTTTTGCCCAAACATCCACTGGTTGTGCTTCATAAATGAGTCAGATGCAGAACGAAAGGAAAAGATTGAACGGCTTGATTCTTGTTGGTTCTACTAAATGATTAGAGACAAGTTGACAGTCATTCAACAAATACAGGCGGTGGACTAAACCTCATGACCAGACTTTCTTTAAATGACTAACACCTGATCAAACCATGTGAGTTTAGGAGGAGTGATTCCAGATCTACTTCAGTGATCCCTGATGTCTAAGTCAGATTTCAGAGCACAAACCTGCTGGCAGATTTTAGGATAAATCAGATTTCTGTAACTGCTGATAAAAACAAATCCTAGAGGTTGAGAACTAAAGCGAGCATCTTTTATCAACAAATCAATATAAGTTTTCTAAGACTGCTGGAAGGCAAAGATCCTCCTCACTCATGGAGCTGCTGCTGAGAGACGCAGAGGATGGATGGAGGGATCAGTCATCAGCAGGTCGCTGAAACCCTGAAAACAAAAACTCCCCCCTGTACAGATGAATATGTTTCACATGGAGAAACGAGCGCTTGCCGTTTGGCTCGAACAGCTCAGGTGTTTCTGTTCTCGCCTTCCGCATCATGAAGTCCAACAGCTTCCAGGCCCTTCCGCCTCCAGACAGCTCAGCCCGTCACTGCAGGATTTTCTGCCGCGTGTCGGGCAGTTTGAGGGCCACCAGGCCGCCGCAGACCAGAGCGGCGAACGACAGAAGAATAGGGATGGCTTTGGTGATCCCCACGAAGCTGGCGAAGATGGAGCTGCCGAGGATGGCTGCCAGCTTACACAGAGCGTTCAGCACACCGAACGCCGTCGCCCTACGACAAAAACACAACCTGATCAACACCAGATTCTCTAAGACCCCGACTGACAGCTCGGTGTTCTACTGATGAATGATGGGAAAGATTCATTCCAGCATAATCTACACTAAGCTGGATCCATGCATGTAGCGACAGTGGAGGAAAAAACAGGAATAAGCCTCCAGCAGAACCAGAACCAGGCTCAGTGTCAGAGACTTTCTCCCTGGGCGGGGTGGCCCGGGCAGGGACACTGAAACACTGATCAAATAGTATTTTCAATGTGAGAGAGAAGTTAGCTAATGACAGCAGAAGCTCCTTTAGAAGCAGATTAGATCAGAGTCAGTTTTAAAGTCTAGAACATGAAAGAGAAAACATCAGCCAGAGGAAAAGTATCATCTGCGGGAGGAAGCCATTGTTTTAGGAACAGTACAAACCAACTAAAGGACTGTTGGACTGTCTGAAAGGACAGCTTCATGTCTGCAAACTGGGGGAAAGTGAAGCAGTGTTGTTCTGCTGCGTCATGGTTCTGTGAAAGCTAGAGGGAGTTACCTTTTAGAGGTGGGGTATAGCTCCACGGTCACCACCTCTATGCCGTTCCACGCAGCAGCGCTGACTGCACAGAACATACACTGCAAGGCGATGATGGCCGATTGGCTGAAGCTCAGGAACAGGAAGAAGGAGCAGCCAGCAGAAATGAGCATGGAGCCACCTGAGGAGACCAGAGATCACCTGTTACAGAGCTGCCATCTGTAAAACTCAGGAGTCACTCGTTAGTCCCAGACGTCACCTATGATCTTGACCCTGCCGATCTTTTCCACGAACAGCGCTGAGATGATGTTGCCCGGCAGCACGGCCAGGCTGCCCAGGAAGCTGACCAGGTAGATCAACACGTCGTTCTCCTCCACCGTGTCCAGGTGGCAGCCATGTTTGTTGTGCTCGAACGTGGTGTTCTCCATCCGGCAGTCAATGAATTTCTCATCCCACAGGTCTGCAGAGAACAGGAGAGGATTCAGAGGAGTGAGGAGCGGGGATGCCAGACAAATATACTTCCTTTTTGCAAATGAATGTTTCTTTCGTTCTTATTGCAGCCAAACAGGAGTGGAAGATGTGGATGGGACACAGACAGAGTGGAGCTGTCTCCACGACTTTCTAGAAAGTTGCATCGCAGACGAGGTTGAAAAGCACAAAGGCAGGTGGATTGATTCCACTGCTACAGAAAGGCATGGTTTTAAAGGTGTAACCAGAATATGAACCATATGGCAGAGCTTCCATATATCGACGATGGGGTAGAAGAAGAGAGGAGCTGTCAGGTGGATCATTGTTCTTATTTAATTGTGCATAATCAGGTTACGAGATTTTTTTTTTATGTTCTTTTGTTTTTGCTCAGTTTGTTAGTGAATAAAGCCCTCCATGTATATTTATAATGCAAACATAGATATGATACTGTGCATGTGTACAGGGGGTAAAAAAGGAAGTAGATTGTAAGCCAGTTAGCGCCTCAAAGCAACATGTAAAATAAGTTTGAGATTCATTCCATTCATTCCAGATTCATTCTGGAAAAATGCAAAAAAAATGTTTAGTTCCTAGAGGTTTGAGACTGGAAGAGTGCTGGGAATACAGTATGAAGGTTGGTGTTCAGTGAGCTAAATGTATCGACGTGTTCAGATGTGGCTGCAGAGTTGATGGATGCAAGAGTAAATGTCCTTATTGATGATGGTGATGGTAGTCTATACAATCTGAGGGCCTGATCTTCAAACCATTTAAGCATCTTCAAAAAGGCACAAACATGTTTGTATGCACAGAGCAGATCTTCATAGATGATGCAAAGCGTTTTGCCTTTGCAATTCAGCCGACAGCATGTGCAAACTTTTTTATTTTACCTTTGTTCCTTACGGAAAGGCTACAGGATACACTATAAGTATTATTCAGTATAACTTTTTTTAATAATCAGCATTATTACCTCTAACTATATGGCTTTGAACCTCATCTTTTTTTACGCTCGCTCTTAACGGCGTTACCTTTTTTTAGTAACAAGTAATCTAACTAATTACTTTGACTGTAACATAACGCAGTTACCATTGCCGATAACCCATTACTGCATGTTACTCAGGTCACACAATTAACCTTTTTTACATGATAGGACTTGGGCACACCTTGTCATGAGAGAGGGGAGGATGAGATTGGCTGATGTATAGTGAGATTGCGTAGTAACTAGTTACTGTACTTTTATTGTGGAGTAACTCAGTAACTCAGTTATTTTTGGGAGAAGTAACTAGTAACTATAAATATTTACTATTTCAAAGTAACGTGCCCAACACTGGCTTTTGGGCAATATTAAGTAGCTGCTTTAGGTGTCTCCATTGTTTTGAGGTACTTCCAGCAGATGGCGCCATGTCTGTTTATGGCAGCTTAGTGTGCCTAAAGCTGGAATTCTTTTAAGCTAAAAAGGAGTTCCTAAACTCTACAAAGACAATGCTCAGTGCATATACCAAGTTAATATCATTAATAACATTTTATCATGAAAAGATTTGTTGTTTTTTTTGTAGGCTTATGACGTCACTATGCGCCTTTAAATGCCAATATTACACATAGAGAAACAGATGTAGAATAATTAAACTTGTGTTCTAGCACTTGTTACTTTGTTTAGACTGTTGTAATGGATTATTTTGATCCCTAAAGGATCCAAACCTTTTAGAGGGAAAGACGCTGATGAGAGACTTGACATCAATCAGATTTATGTCAGCAGTTAAAGACGTTCCTCTTACATAGTTTTATTTCTCTTTGTTACAGTGTTTGGGCTTTGTTAAACGGTGCTAAAAATGTAATTTATTTTGTTTTGTCTGTTTCTTTTATTTCTTACATCCTAGTTCTCCCAATTACAGGGAACTGGGTCTATAGTGTCACTGAGATTAAAGGTTTGTTTTAGTACTTTAAGGACAAGCCAAAGAGAATTTTCATGTATCTACTGTAGGGTTTAGCAGATGCAAGCTTGGGTGTTTTTATTTGTCATTATTTTTCCTTCTGGTCTCTACTTTCTAAATAGTCTTCATAGATATTAGCCACCTGTTTGTTAGGGCCAGTGAGGTCCCCTATTTAGTCCACTATTTTAAATATCAGATTATTCCTTTTTTTCTTATCATTGTGAACAAGCTTCCTTTGTCTTCAAGACATTTTTTTTACATATTGCGACCAAATGAATCGTAATGCCTCTGTTTCACCCACAGTAACGGTTTATCTGTATGTGGGTTTCCTAAAAAGTCTACAAAACAATCCACTGGACTTTGTTTCCAAGTGTGAAGGTGTTTCACTTCCTTCACGCCCCTCTTAAACCATCCATCTTCTTTATTGTTTGGTGGTTTGAGAGGGGCGTGAAGGAAGCCATCTATGTTAACAAAAAAAAAACCAACAAAGTCGTAGGGAAGTCATATTTGAATATCAAATCCTTCTGACTTAAACATGAATATAAATCTACTCTTTATCACACCATATTGTCCCAAAATTTAGAAAATTTCCATTTAAGAAAAAATCCTGTCTTAAACTCTGTGGGTTTTTTTCGTTATCTCATGCAGGCCAGTTAGTTATACGTCAGCTTGTACACCTAAATTCGGCCAATCATACATCAACTGTCATCTATCAATCAAATTTTTTTGGTCATAGCATCTTGATTCATATGTCACAGCTAATATACGCAACAGTTGAAATAAGATCAAAAAAGGGAAATTGTGTAAAATGGAAGTGCTTTCTTAGCACCTATTTTAAGTTGTGATTCTTTAAATGTTCACATTACCAAGCAGTTTTCCATTCATCAACTCCTCCCATTGTTATGTTACCCAGAGGAAACTCTTGATGCCTTTTCTTTTCGAGGAGATTATTGGGAGGATGTTGATATAATGATTATGAGGGTTTTTCATGAGCCTGTTTTTTTTGTTCCTCCTTCAGGCTCTTGAATGTGTGTGGGCAAAGCACAGATGCTGAGTTTGGACTTGGTTTGAACTTATATCACAGTATTTCCCTCTGGCTTTAGAATAGTCTCTGACAGCTCTGCTCTATTATAATCTTATTCTATGCAGATGATACAGGCTCTTACCTACACAGCAGGGTAACCTGACATGTTTTTGTTTTACATTTTCTTTGCTTATTTCAGGTAAAGTCCTGTTCTGACAAGCTCACTTTTCACAGCATGGGAGAATCACCACTTTTTTGCTCTACCATACAGACTTGTGTTATTTGCAAGCTAAAGTATCTGACATTCATCACCACAGAGAGAACCAATAATTGGTGACAAACACTAAAGACAGGCGCAGATCTTCAATAGTCCTGCAAAATTTACTTCAAGGTGAAACGTAAAGGATTTTTTTCTAAAAAGAAAATCTTAAGATCCTGGGTTTTCTATTTTTCAGACTTTTCCAGGATTTTGTTCACATTTCATTGTGAGCTAATTAGAACCAGTTTAACCCTTTTTTGGTTTTATTTATCTAATTTTCTATTAAATCCAGAAAAAAACATGTAAAATAGAGCCAAAATAATAAGAAATATTAAAAGAATAACTGTTAAAAACCTTCAGTAAGAAAACATCTGAAAAAAAAACATCAGAAAGCAACTTAAAGAGATTCTAAATAGATGTTAAAATGTGCTGTAAATTGAACTTAAATTTAATAACTATTTAATAAATACCTTTTTTAATAGCAAGGATCAAACAAACAAAAAATGAAAGAACTGGAGGATGCTAGAAGGAGGCTATGAGAAATTAAACAATTTCATAAAAATCAGCTGATATGAAGGCCCAGATTTTTTTGAAATATTAGCAAAAAAAGCAGAAAGTGATGCAGAAAAGAACAAATTTCCTCACAATTTTTTTTTTTTCTCATACATTTGGCTCTGAGAAATTAAGACATCTCAGTAAATATAATTTGAAGCTATGAATTATTTTGGTAAATATTGAAAAAACCTGAAACATGTAACGTCTGCCGCTGCTGAACCCACCTGTGTTGTAGAAGAGTGTGGAGCGGATGGTGCAGTTTTCAAACACTGTGTTTGTAGACCGGATGTCCTCAAAGTGGCAATCTTCAAACAGGGAGTCTTGGAATTTCACCGATCTCATCTCTATGCCGACAAACCTATAAGGATGGGATGGGGACAGACCAGTAGACCAACACAGAGCCTTTCTCAGTGCAAAGCTCCAATCGTGTCTTTGGGAATTCAGGGCGTCAAGCCCGCCAAACTTTGTTTAACAGGAATTTTCTTTTTTTAGTTTTAATAAGAAGCAGTATGTTTATTTTTGCCTTTTTATGTCAATAGATCAACAGAAAATTTTACTTGAGACTAATAATATTAGAACCGATTCAAATAATAAAAATAATCATGTTTGATTTCAAGTTCAATTACGCCTGGACAGTATTTTAATACTAATATATATAATATTTAAGTATAACCTTTTGTTAGTAATGACATTTCCAACATTTCAATATACATGCATTCTATGATTACAGCATTTGTCAGTGACTGATGTTTGGGTTTTATGTAGTTTTATGTTTCTTTTATTTTTTTAAAGCAAATATTTCTAAAATGTTGAATTATGATGTTGAATTATCATGGTTTTGCAAAAGCAAATGTTGTGGGGATCCTTGGTAGTCTTTCTGAGGCTTTTATTTGGGATTCA